TTATAAGTTTTATTTATTCAAATAAGGAAAGCATTTCTTTTTCCCATTTCCCTCAATAACTTATTTTTCCAATTCCTTTAACAACTCTTATTTTTCCTCCCGTGTAAAGTTTTAGACCAAGTACTGGTAGATTTATATATATTTATACTGTATTATGTCTAAGATATGGATTCTCAATAATTTTTATGTTTTCTGTATTTAATAATGTGCATGGTGTTCAGGTCTGGATATCTTGGATGTTATTTTTCCTCCCGTGTAAAGTTTTAGACCAAGTACTGATAGATTTATATATATCTATACTGTATTACATCTAAGATATGGATTCTCAATAATTTTTATGTTTTTCTGTATCTAATAATGTGCATGGTGTTCAGGTCTGGATATTTTGGATGTGAAGTTGCTAGAGTGCTTGGTGGTGGTCTTGTCCCAGGTTCTTTTCAGTTATGCTTGATTATGTTCTTTTTGTTGATTATTGCTTTTAAGTAATTTCCTTGTCTTTGTCATTTTTAAATTCTTCTTAATGTCCTCCCTTGAAATCTTTATCTGCAAAATTTGGCATCCAGACATGTAATGTTTAAGGTGCTAATTACTTGTGTTTTATTGAGTTTTAAGGGAAATAAAACATTTCAATATTTGCTCTGTGAAAATATCATTTTTAAGGTAATTAAATCCCTACTTTGATGTAAGACAAGTTAGGGCTAATTTGCCTACTTAGGAATTCGGGAGTTAGTTTAGATATCATATTTAGAGTTTCTTGCATATCACTGCTAAAATTTTTTAACTGAATAGCCAGACCACTCAAAAGTGAGATCTCAAAGATATTTATTATGCTTCCTTGGTAAAATTAAAGCAAATAAGATTAGACTAAAGAATTTTCTAAAATATATCGGCTAATGATACTAAGGAAATACTACTGCCTTTTTTTTTTTGATTAAAAAAAGAGATTTATTGAGATAAGAGAAGAAAATACAATAAAAGGAAGGTAAGACATCCTCCAGATGTTACAGTCTATAATAAGCCAAAAACAATTATTGCAAGATATGATACATAATGAATATGAGAGCTTAAGGGCCCAAAACAATAATCTCCCAATTCTGATTGAGGTTGGAAATAGCTAGGTCTGAGAATTTTCCATCCAGCTTGACCCAAAAAGATGCCAAAAAATACTCGCCTATAGCTCATAGAAAAACATATGTTGATCGTAAAAAAGTTTCCAGTTTCTTGCGAGCCATATGGTGCAGAGACCGGCAAAGATAGTCTCTTGCCACAAGGTTTTGCTTCTTTTCTCGCTCCTTCACCTTTGATGTACACACTTAAAAGAGTCTCTCGCCACAAGGTTTCGCTTCTTTTCTCACTCCTTCACCTTTGATGTAAACACTTAAAAAACTCTCAACTGTTGTAGGTCTGGCCCACTTAATGCCAAAGAGGTTCAACGTTTTCTGTTCAAATCTTCCAAGCAATCTTGCAATGGAGAAATAAATAGGAGGTATTTCTCCTCCTCTAAAGCATGTAACACATATATCTGGAGACAGGGCACTGTTTGGATGGTGTTTAAAAAATTTTTCTGCCCATGTGGACAGCTAATTATTGAAGAAAGGAAAGCTAGAGCACATTTTAATAAACAAAAAGAAGTACAATCTTTCCTACGTACTAGATTTGTTCCAGAGTACCTTAAAGAAGGAACCTTTCCACAAGGAAAAAATACAGGAAATAAATAGAAGAGGTGAATGTATATAAACTGAAAGTTCATGGGGTTACTGGCCTGTACCTTTGCAACCAGAATGTTAAGTTTTTTTTAAAAAGCATAGTTTATCTGCAGTCCTTCTTTCTCAAATATTTGGTTAGCAATATGGATCATGCTATTTGATTGTCCAGCTTCATAAAAGCTATGCCTTGGCAGTCTCTTGAAGTTCCTTCTAAAGTGGGATAATTGTACGATTACTTTATGGCTTTCCTTTTTGAGTTTATAGGTTCTTTGGTTTTGATTGGTGGTGATCCCGGTGTGGGCAAGAGTACGCTCTTGTTGCAGGTAACTATATAATGACAAAGACAATAGCTGTTTCACATGCACTTGTAGTTGCATTGGCCTTCATTTCATTAAATTGCATTGTTTTAGGTTTTGGATGCTATCTTTCACATGGTTGTCTGTTTTCTTTAATATTATCTTATAATGTCACTGTTGCATTTGAATTGGAAGATTGCTGCAATAGTAGCTGAGGGGAGTAATCTTGGTAGACCTGCTCCTGTTCTATATGTTTCTGGAGAAGAGGTTAGTGTTCGGTCTTATTTTAATTTGTTTTGGAACATCTTTACATTGTTGGTACCCTTTATCTTCGCTAGGGGCTCCATGTAAAGAGATATAAGGTTCAAGCATTATCGAGCGGAGTTGGACAATTGGTGTTTTCTTTATCTTTTAGAAAGTTTCTTGACATGGTCAAGTTTTGAGTATATCTTATTTGCTAGTTACTGGACAAGCAAACTGAATTATTATCATTAGGCAGTTGTTTATACCTTCTATTTATATAAATAATTTATACCTCCTGTTGCGACACGCACACGTTTATTTACATTTCACTTTCCGAACCATCAGCAAAGTTTCTTCAAATTTCTATTTGAAGATAAAAAAAGGGAAGAATTTCATGAATCTGCATTATACTGATGGTTCCAATGAAAGGTGGAATATTGAGATAACTCTTGGAATAGGCATTGTCAAGTTATATTGTCAAGTTGTGACACGCACACGTATATTTACATTTCGTATTCGCAACCATCGGCAAAGTTTCTTCAAATTTCTATTTGAAGATAAAAAAGGGAAGAATTTCATGAATCTGCATTACACTGATGGTTCCAATGAAATGTGGAATATTGAGATAACTCTTGGAATAGGCATTGTCAAGTTATATTAAAGAGCATATTGAAAAAAGAAAACGAGTTTTATTTTTATTTATTTTTTGCTTTAAGGCCATTGCAAGGAGGACAAACTGCAGGCCAACAATGAAGGCGAACCGTGGTCCTAAAGACACCTTTTGTGCAGAGTAGCTTGGTGAAAAGAAAGGACGAAATTGAGTTACCTTATTGTTGAATGTTTAAATTACAAACCTTTCTGCTATTAGAAAATGATAACTATGGTTTTATTCTATGTAGCTTCCTCTTTTTCTCCTTTAGACTTCTGGAATAATTTGTTGTTAAATCCTTTAATGCTTTTCCTTGCTGCAGAGTGTTGAGCAAATTGGAAACAGAGCTGACCGAATGAGTATTACAACAGAAGAACTTTTCCTATACTCGAGCACTGATATTGAGGTAGTCCAGAAGGACTTAGGCTGAGCATTTTGGTTAATGATCTCTATACTTGTATAGAAAAGAATCACTGATTTTGCATTTATATTTCTGTCATATGATGAGTATTTATTTGGATTTGATTTAATAATTGGCTGAAAATTTTCTCCTCTGTTCTAGTCACATGGCAGGATGGATGCCTGTGCTTGCTGCTATTTGAAGGGAATCTTATATATCTAATATGCAGTTCTACAAGTTTTCAGTATCCCTGAAATTTCTCTGAGATACTCTGATTTTTTTAGTCCCTCTCAGTCTCTTTTTTACACAAACGTTGTTTAAACTGATTTTTTTTGAACATGAGCTGTAACAATGCATCTCTAACAAATAGAGAAAATCAAGTGCAAAGCTGCTGGTCGTTAGTTTATATTTGTTGCATAATGACAATAGGTATGATGCCTAGATTCATTATTATTTTGCTGTTCAATGGGGCTGTTGGGGGAAGTTTTCAGTACAATTCCTTAACATCAGTATAAATGTTGAATAAGTAATCAATTTTTACCACTTTATAGGACATTCTCAAAAAAGTTCAGCTCATATCACCTCGAGCTTTAATTATCGATTCTATTCAAACAGTTTATCTGAAAGAAGTAAGTGGGAGCGCTGGAGGGATCTCTCAGGTTTGAATGCTCTCCCTGAGCTCTACTATGCATTGACATGATTCACCTTCATGTTTTTAAACATCAAATCTTTATTGGATGTTCCAATTGTAATTCTTCTGCAGTTTTATATGGTAAACAAAAATTAATTTCTTATATTTTTTTTGTGTTTGTGCTGTTTTGCACACACAACCTCTCTGTCTTTAGGTTCAACAATATGTGTTTTATCTAATTTTTTAAATTCTACTTATTTATTTTTAGATATGTAATATCTGCTAATTTATTTAACATTCGGAAAATCCTCTACAATCTCTAATTTTTCTCTATTTATTATTTTGATTAATTGATTCCTAATTCTTAGGAAAATCCAGTTTTTAGGAATTAATTATGTGGTAAAGTTTTTCTAACTAGGTATATTTTTTGTGTATTTATACTCATTTCGATACTTATTGTTTGGGATAAAAGATTCTATTTCTCCATGGTACAGGAGAAGTTGCAATATCCTCTCTGATTTTTTGATTTCATTTTATTTTATTTTTACATCCTTCGTTGCTGAATTTTCTTCTTCTACTATAGCCTTACTTGCCAAATAGAAAAAGTCATCAGCCTTTATACTTATTATTAGCTTTCATATCCAAAAGCTTCTTCTTCCACTTTTTCTTTCTTTGAAAAATGTGAGAAACCGCAGAAAATTTATCAAATTCCTCCGACCACTAATGAATTTGTGCCAAACAGTCAATAAGGGAACTTACTTTCTATGACCACTAATGTAGGACAAACTAGAGTAGTTTCACACGTAGGAATTTGGAGATAAAAAACTTAGACATCACGAGTAGGATGGTATAGACATCACACACTGAAAGTCTTAAGTATAGCACTCAAAATGTTTGATTGCATCTTACAGCTATAAAATAAAACAAAAACCTCATTGCAATAAGGACCTGCATCTTACCAATAGATGCTTCCTTTGCAAAAAGGACGCAGAAACCAGTAAGCACCTGCTCTTGTGGTTCCCAGTCACCCAAATTCTCTGGAAGTTTATGGTCTCATGGGCTTATCTTGGGTTAAAGCTGATTCTATCAAGAGTGAATTATTGGCCTGGGAAGGGCTTTGCAGGAAGAACATGCTCCAAAAAATTATTTCCTTAACCATTTCTGGATTATTTGGAAAGAAAAGAATATTAGAGCTTTTGAGGCGAACGAAAATGATTTTGTCTCCAACAAGGATAAATGGTTTCATTTTTTTGGTTCTATTGCATTAGAGCAAAACCTTGATAGCATTGAAGACTTTGTTTCTATTGTAAATATACTAATTGACATGTAAATTTTTTGTATATGGGTGACGCCCTCTTGGCGTCAACACTTCAAAACACGTATACTTATATTTTTTTTTTAAAAAACAAAAACCTTTGAGTATTTTATTGAATAACTGAATTGAACATTTCCCAAAGTAAGAGCTTACTAAGTGACTTTTTCTTTAATATGATTAAACTAAGAAATATAATTTTAATAAGATTATGAAAGATAAATACTGCATTAATAAGATCTTGAAGTTACTAAAACTATAATAATAGGCTGCTAAATAATACAATAGTTTTATTCTAAAAGAATTTTATCTCTGATCTATTTAGCCTATTCTGCATCATTCTTCAACTTTTAAATTGCTTAAAACATGTCTTCCCTAATTTTTAGAAGTGCCAGTTTTAACAGTTTTAATTGTAGTACTTGTAAACTTGCGAAACACCTTGTGTCATTTCCATCGAATAGTACATTTTCATTTGATATGCAAGACAGTTTACCTGGTTTAATTTTACATTAATGCTTCATTTGGGCTTCCGTTTACTTGCCTTCATTGTTTTGGTTTGTTACAATATATAAATATAGATATATATATGTATACATCTGTATGTGTGTGCCCATATGTTTGGAATTCTATACACGTATGGATATTTATGTATCAATTTGTATGTGGATGTATCAAGGGGTTGTGTACTATAACGTAAGTTGAGTTGTATATGGGTATTACTGTTTACAATACATGGTAATTGGCTTATAGATAATTGACCCATTTCTTTCCAGTCTCTATCCACCCATGCCCACCAATTTATCACTGTATTGGTGACTCTCTTTTGCTCTTTGACAGGTGAAGGAATGTACATTAGCGTTGCTGTGTTTTGCAAAGAAGACTAACATCCCTGTTCTTTTGGTAAGCATGCATTCTTTCATCTTTTATATTCTATTGCAATGTTAATGAAGATATGGAATCGTTCCAACTCTTTATTTAAGATTCACGTGTTTCCTTAGCTTACTTGGTCAATTGCAAGTTAAAATAATACCAGTTAGTCAATTTCTTGCATTCCTCCTCAGATGCTGGATCTTTCATTCACTAGGTGCCTTTGGTGTTCTTAACACTTTCATGGATCTTTATCACTTTCTGGTTTCTTCTGCTGCAATTGATTTTTTTTTTTTTTAAAACTTGTTAGCATTTGATTTAACCTTTTCTAGATACCCTTACTTTTTTACTTTTTCCATAAAGCAGCTGGCTGTTGATTTTTGAGCTAGTTAGAATGTAGGCTTGATGCATATGCATGTACCTCTACGTTAATGGTATTACTGGGAACTTGAAGCCCTATATCTTTTTGCTTTGTTATTTTGATTATATTCACATTTTATATGCTCATTTTCTCAATTCCTGGACCTTTTTGGTAAACACTTTTTTTGGACATGTAATTTTTCTTCTGCTCTTCTTTCTGCAATTAATAATTGATTGTCTTTTTTCTTTCCCTCAAACTTTTGCTCCCTCTGATTCTTGCCTTTTGCTTTTCCCTTTGCACTTTAGGTTGGACATGTCACAAAATCTGGAGAAATTGCAGGACCACGTGCCTTAGAGCACATTGTTGATGCTGTTTTATATATGGAAGTCAGTATCTTATTTCATTTCTCCTTATCTATATATATTTTCTGGTCATTAATGAATTAAACTTCTCTTTAAGCTGTAGTCTATTTAGCATCTTTTCTTATCTGTTCATTGCTTTAGATGGTATAATAATTAATTTAGTTCCTGGACCATAAAATTAATTGGCATCCCCTTCTTTTACCCATTTGATTTTCGCCTTTTGTCTCAAATATCTACTTCCTTAAGAAAGACCTCCTGAAATGCATTTTTCAATCTATTATGTGATCTTTTTGTATGTCCGAGATCACATTTTCTGATTTAAGCCTTTCCAATTCCCTCATTTCATTGAAAATTTCAGTGTTCCTATTTCTCATATTCATAAATGCTTCTTTATTCTATGTTTTTAATTTCTCTTTCAGGTGCTTCAACTTTTTCGTGAAATTTAAAACCTTCCCAGCCTTGATCCTTTTGTGATCTTTTTGTATGTCAGAGATCACATTTCCTGATTTAAGCCTTTCTAATTCCCTCATTTCCTTGAAGATTTCGTTGTTCCTAATTCTCACATTCACAAATGCTTCTCTATTCCATGTTTTAAATTTCTCTTTCAGGTGCTTCAATTTTTTTTGTGAAATTTAAACTCTTCCCACCCTCGGTCCTCATCCTTCTACCATATATCTCTCACCGTGTCCTTAAAGGTCGAGTCTTGCAGCCACATGTTTCTAAACCAAAAAGGGATTAGACTCTATTTAACATCAAGGCCCCTTCAACTACTGACCAATGTGCATTTTGAAGCATACAAGGATAAGGCTGTTTGGAAACTAGAGAAAGATGGTATCTTTACAGTTAAATACTTTTATGATTATTTGACCAATAGAGTGGGAGAAGGTGTGAGATTTCCGACTTTGCAGATACGGAAAGTGAAGGCTGTACCAAAAATTGCTTTTTTTGCTTGGGAAGCGGATCAAGAATGCATCATCATCATTGACAAGTTGATAAGAAGGGGACACATTATGGTCAATCGTTGCTATTTATGTAAGGAGGTGGTTGAGTCATGCAACCATCTTCTGTGGTGTCTGGTGACTTATAATATATGGAATATGGTTTATAGTTTTCTGGGTATCAATTGGGTGATTGGGGGTGCGGTGAAAAATGAATTTTGGATTTGGGATGGATTGGAAAGAATTTTAAAATTGTAAAACTCATTCCTTTAACTATTTTTTGGGTGATGTAGAAAGAGAGGAACAATAGAGCATTTGATGGGTGTCTGGGGTATTTGGGCAAAACTAGAGATAGGTGGATACATACTTTCGGGCTCTAATTTTGTGACATGATGTTTATGGGTGGGATGATTTTGAAAAGGTTTTTGATGTTTTAATAGGTATGTAAATATTCTTTATAGGGGCAGTACCCCCTTGGTGTCTTATACTTAATATACTTTATTTTTTATCTCAAAAAAAGTTGTAGTGGTTATTGTGCCCCCCAGTTTTTCCATTGAGGATCTACAAGCATTAAAGTCTCCTCCCAAACACCTCCATTGCCCATAGAGGCTATAAAGGAAATAAAACTCCTATCAGAACTTCTCTCAATGTCTATATGTAGTGGTTTGTACACATTTGCGAACTAGTACTTCCTTTTTCCTTTCACCTCTGGTAATGCTATCAATTTGAATTCTCCCTCAATTATTTCATCCTTTTCTGCAAATCGAATTTCCCAAACGCCTGAAGGTAATGCTTCAGATCATCACGGTATCAATGTTTACCTTCTTGGTTTCTTGAATCATAACCAAATCTGGGCAAGCTCTTCCTAGATCTCCTTGATTTGTTTTCTTCTTAAAGCATTCCCCATCCTATTGATATTCTAGCTCCCCAATTTCATTGTTTACCACAGATTCCCCTATCCTCACCTACTTCTACTAGCTTCCATCCATTCATATCCACCCATATTTCTTTTCTCCTCGTATGTTCCTTCTATGTCCTAGGGGTTACTACCACTCTAACCCTTTCC